CGAATTCTAGATTTTCTTAGGAGCTTGAGCGAGATTTTTTTTTTTTTTTTTTGGTACCGGAGATCGAACTCAGGTCCTTGCGCTTTCGTAGCAGGCGGCGAAACCACTGAGCTAAAACCCCGGCCCTTGAGCAAGTTTTTTACTTGCTCTGTTTCTCAGCTTTCTCACCTTCAGAGCCAAGATCGTAATACCTACCTCACCTAGTACCAATGTTAGCCTTCCCCTATCTCCCGTCACTCCTTTGCACTCAGTAGATAATTGTTGAGAATTTGTTCTGTTGCCCTATCTTGTGCATTCAACTATTCTAAGAGCTCAGAGACTGAGACAGTAAAGGACTTCTACACTTGATCTTAGCCAAAAGGCCGAGAAGCGATAAGTAAAGGACTTCTTAACAAGATAGTTGTGACGCAGCTTAATGGCAGTTTAGTATCCATGGGAGGTTGAGACAGGAGATTGCAAGCTCAAGCTAGCCTGGGCAATGTAACATGACCTTGTCTCAAAATTGAAAAAGGGCTGGGGGTGTATTTCAATGTCAAAGCCATGGGTTCAATCCCCACTAATGCAAAAAAAAAAAAGGTAAAGTATGGAATGACTACTGATTTGGAGGAGCAAGTCAGGTAGCAGTGCTCATTTTAAACATCTTTTATACTCTGGTTTCTCTTCAGATTGTATAAATCTTTTGCCTTTTTAAACATCTTTTATGTTTTAGAGATGTAGCTCATTGGGAAGGCCCTATGTTTGATCCTCAGTACCACAATAAATAAATTAACATCTTTTATGCTTCCTGATCACTTAATACCTGGTGAACATTAAACCTTGTTATTTTTGGGTCAGAAGTTAGCTCAAGTTAACAGCTAGGCTGATTTGCAGTGCATGGCAATTGATTTTTGTCATTGTGTCAAGTACTATGTTATAGCAAATATAGCATTCTTTATAGTGATCACTATCAAAGATGACCAGCTTTATGAACCTAAACTATCCAAGGTCATGCAATATTGTCAGCCTGATCATAGCTCACAGCGTTGTAGAATTTAATATTTATGGAGTCCCTGATATATGGTAGGCCCTTTGAAGACAAGAAAGGTCCTTACTCTCCCAGAGTTTATGCTCTTGAGGGAAAGCAGACAATGCAATTAGTAGGCACAGAACATCACAGTATGCAACATTCTTGTTTGAGCGATCTTAACATTATTCCTGTTTAATTATAAGGCTAACTTGTTAAAAAGAAAAATTGTGAAATAATTCAGTAAGATACTAAGATCATTAAGGAATGCTGTGGCATTTATGCAGTGGTCCATCACTGATTCAAAATGACTCATAGTCATTCTAATGAAGCCAGTCATGCTGAATTTGACAGCCGTTCTACATTCCAGTTTGTGAGATGTCATGTTTGGTGACTAAGCTGGCAAGTATGAATTTTTCTTATTTCTTCCTGAAGGGTGAAGGCTTAGTCTCTGCTGTTGATCTCTGTACCTGGAATGGGGTAATGAAAGTGCCTGAAGCTCTGTCCCCATCACTTTCTTTGCCACTATCGGTGTCTGCCAATTGTGTTCATACTTTCTCAGGCCCCAGCCTCTTCCATACTCCCAGCTCCTAATTGGGTAATGGAACCTCATCTGGTATCATGTGTTCACTCAACAATAATTAACTAAATACTCATAGTGCACACTGGGCACGACAAGGCATGGAGTCATCTGGGGTGGGCAAATCAGTTGTTACTCCAGGCTCTGGTCAGGCTAAGGAGTTGATACTTCATCAGACTTATTCTTTAAATATTTGTTCATTACACTGAAGAGGAGAAACCAAGAACTGCATGGGGAAAGGAAAGTTTAGGAGCCCCTCTAGTTCCCCCTTTTGCTAGTTTCCAAGATCTCAACTGACCAGAAAGAAATAGCAGCCAGAATCCTTATCTTCCCTTCCAGTCACTTCCAATGTTTTATTTTTCTTTTTACCCCTTGCTATGTATTCGCAGTAAATAATAATTACATTTATCATGGAGGGTTGTACATGTACGTAATCCATCTTCTTTTTTTCATCCCATACTCCTCCCATCCCTCCCTGCTCCTTTCCAGTCTTGGTTCCCTTCCCATTTACAAAATCTCTATCTCCATTTTTTTCTTTTTTCCATTTTTTTGGTACTGGGGATCGAACTCAGGACCTTGTGCTTGCCAGGCAGGTGTTGTGCTGCTGAGCTACATCACCAGCCCTATCTCCATGTTTTTCTTCAATTCTTTTTTTTTCCATCCCCTTTCCCCCTTCTCCCTCCCCCTTCCTTCATCTCTTGTTCCCTTTCCCATTTAAGCAAGATCTCCCTACTTCCTATTACCTATCTTTTATTTTGATTTTTATTTATATTTTGCGTAAATGGATGCACCTTAAGGCCATAATATTAAGTGAAATAAAGCAGAAACATAAACTTAAATATTGCATGGTTTCTTTTATATGCTAAACACAAAATATAAATTAAAAACATTCAATGTCTTCTTTAGCCCTGAAAAAACATACTGTAATTGATTTCTGGGACATAAAGAAGTAACATATTGTCCCAGCCTGCAAGGAACTCAAAGCAATTAACATATACCATAAAATACTGTAAGAAAAGTATTTTTGAATATGTCCCATAAACACAAACAAAAGAGCCATGAATTCAGCCTGCAGTGGTCAGAGTGGCCCATGGAGGTGATTCCATAGGATCCCTGAATGGGACAGATGATGAACGGCGGTGTTCTTCTTTTAGTACATTGGTTTTGAAATTTTCAATTTGATGAAATAGGAGAACTTAATTTAATATACATACAGCCTTGAACTTACAGATTGTACAAGGCATAGTGAATGAATATGACACTACGGTGATTCCTGCCATAGCTGACCTGCAGAGAGAAGTCCTAGGACTGTAAGTTTACCCTCCAGGTCCTTTGACTAGCAATTCTTGACTCAGGGATAGGGAAACAGTTCAGTGATAGAGCACTTGCCTCATAGGTGTGATGGTCTGGTTTTGATTTCCAGTACCAGAAAAATAAATGGATGACTAATTCTTAGATTCTTAAGATCTTTTCTTTTATGATTTTATGGACCAATCACTATAAGAAATTCACATGAATGGAAACCATTCTTAAATTCCAAAACTGAACGGTAGATCCTTACTGTGCTAAAGAGGAATTTAATTTATCAACCCTGTCTGTGCTGACCAGAAGGAAGGTTTGTCTGCTTTCACAGTAAAAGCCTTGGTATCTTTTATTTTTCAATCAAAGATCAGATTACCATTAATTGTTCCTTAATCCTTGGTCACTTTGGATATTTCTTAATGTCCCTTGTTGGTAGCCTTCTGAAAAAGAGAGAGAAGGGAAAGAAGGGAATTCTCAGTGATATGCTTGTTTTCTTTTTTGTGTGTGTGATTTTTTTGTTAAATTCTTCTATTGGTACATTTTAGGTATACAATATGTTTACATGGTATGCTTGTTTTCTCCAAATCTTTCAGGGTACTTTTTTTTTTAAAGATTATCTTGGAATTGACTTTTGAAATTAAAACACACGTGGCTTGTGTCCAACTTGTGGGAGAGATGTTTCTGAGGGGTAGATAAAGCTAGTTTGGTGGCACTTATTAATTAGCATAGCAGGCTGCTGGAGAGCCGCTGATGGAGAATTGAGAATTGCTGTGACAGCCTTTGTCCTCTTTTTATACTGCCTAATTTGAATGATTTATTCTATTTTAAGAAATATCGCCATTTAATATTTTCACATTTCATTCTTTCAGCTTGTTACTTTTATGTTCTGCTGAAGAGGAAGAAAGAGAATAACTTTTGCTACTGTTTCTAAAATGGGTTTGAATGATTTACTTTTAGCCTGGATAAAGAAACTGAGCTACATGGTGTTTCTTTTACTTGGTAACAGTGGCTTCTCTCTGAGATGACAAGTAGTCATTATAGGACTTTCCTTAAGTTTCAGTTTATATCTTCTTAGCAAAATATTCCTCTGGTTTCCATAAATTTGAATAGAAAAGAGGAATGAAACTCATTAATAAACAGAATGGAAAATATTCAGCCTAACACAAAGAAGTGCAAAATAAAACAGTAATATTAATTTTCATATGTGGAATTAACCAGTGCTTTTTTATGTTTTTTAAAATAGCTTCTGCCTGCCTTGCAAGCGCAAGGACCTGAGTTCAATCCCCGGTACCAAAAAAAAAAATAACTCCTATATCTGTTGAGAATGCTACTGGTATATTGTTAATAGGAAAGAAAAATAGTGCAACTTTTTGGGGGGGAAATAAATTGATACTATATATCAGAGACTTTAAAAGGTTCATGCTGTTTGACCCAGTACTCTTATTTTGGAAATTCATCCAAAAGAAATCATTACAGAGTACAGTATGGAGATGTTTACATCAAGGAAAAAAAGGGAAATCAAATGATTCATTAGGGCAATGATTTTATGAACTATTTTTGTGAACTACTTTGTGACACATGAGACTTTAACAACATTAAGAAAGTCTATGATATATAATGAGGCAAAAGCAAATCTTAATATTGTGCCATCAAATCAAACTAGCAGATCACCAAATAACAAAAATAATTACCAAACTAGATGGAGAAGACTATCCCAAATATTAAGTATTTTCTGTTCATTTCCCCTCTGTTTAATCCAAGAAGCATAGATATTTTCAGTGGGTTATTTTTTCTTTTGTAAAATAACTAGTGCTTCAGATATAATACATATTCTATGTTGAAAATTTAATACTCACATTTTATGCCTTGTGCATTATCATTGTGATGAGATTGTATGTGTAACTTGTGACATGACTTATTTCTCTCCCTGGCTATTAGTTAATACCTTTTGTAAGACGTTGATCATTTTTTAACATACTTTTTTAAAAAGTTATCTTTTTATATTTTATAAAATTATTATACATGTTAGAAATTTCAGAGCCATATAAGTGGATAAATAATCTTCTAGTCCTGTGATGCATAAAATATGACACTATATTTATGATTTCTCTTTAGGAATTCCTCACATTGAAACTAATTGCAGTTTCCAGTTGACCAGCATTCATAGGGTAAGATGAATATCTTGGATTGTAAACACATGGTAAAGATAATTACAGTTAAGTTGGTAGCTTAGGGAAAAAAATAAAAACAGAAACAGATCACTCGTCTTACAGAAGTTTCAAGGGAAGTCCTTAGGGTGTTTTAAAATGAATTAGAAATTTAAATTTTTATGTATTTAAAATGCCATCTTCCTGTCCTTTGTGGGTTTTGTAAGCAAGAAAATATATACTGTATTTATATATGTATGATAATCACTTTTTTAACCTTAAAGATCTAAGAAAATATGTGTAAGAAATATACATAAGAGACTTAAAGTCCATGTTTGTCTCCCTGATTTTTTAAGGTAGCATTTTTAATGCATAGGATCAAGTTACCATGTTTCTGTAAGTGAAAGATGGCCAAGCTTTTCTTGACCAGGCACATCAGAATTAAATAAGCCCTATATTCTGGTGCTTCCTGCAAACATCATTCTCCTTTTGTAATTGTGGAAGATTAATCTTGTTAGTCCTGTAGCAGAGCTTTTGATATAGACATGATAAATGGTGAATGTGTATACTCAGTTAAATAGTACAACTCTCCAATGTTGGGAATACAGGATATGTCTTAAAAATGTCACCTTGTCGCTATGAACATATAACCAAGGTGACTCAGTGGTAAGGACCGTGGGTCTGTTACCTACTATATTCCGAATACTTTTCTTTTTACAGGTGGAAGGTGAAGGTCTTTGATTTTTTTTTTTTAATGGGGAGGGTATATGTCTACATTTCCACTCTGATTCATTGAGCTGACTGTAAACTTTTAAATGCTGATAACAGATCTTGCTATCCTCTACTTAAAACCCTTCAGTGACTGTTCTGTCATTCTTGAATTATTTATTATCCAAACTCTTTACTTTAGCTGAAGGCTGTCACTTATTTCTCTCTAGTCTTCTGACATTCCAGCCAGAGTGGAATGTCAGAATGTCCTTTCTGATCTTCACACATCCTGCCCCTGCTATTCTCTCTGAAATGATCCTCCTCAACTTGGCCTTATGACTGGCTCTATGTTAATCTCCATATTAATGGCAGTCACTCTAAGGCCTTCCCTGACCACCCCATGTACATCAGCTTTATATTTGTAATGGTTAAGCTTAATCATCAACTTGATCGGTTTGGGAGCTGCCCAGGCAATTAGTAGAAGCACATTTCTGGGTGTATCTGGTTGGATGATGGATATGTGGCCATGTCTAGTCCCTTAACCCTTCCTCTCTGGCATTGTTCCCCTGCTCTGCTTCTCAGCATCCATAAACTAAACAGCTTTGCCCTCCCATGCTCTAGCCATAGACTAAATCCTCTGAAAGCATGAGCCAAATAAACCTCTCCTCCTTTAAGTTATGGATACTCAGGCAGTTTGTCCTAGAGATAAGAAAGCTGACTAGTACAATGTTCTACATAGCATTTCTGTTCTTTCTGTGTTTGTGTTGTTGTGTCCTTTTCCTCACTACACAGTAAAGGACACAGGTCTTGTCCATCTTACATACCTATGTTGTTAACTCTTAGATATGCTCCTGTGCTCCTCCTGATACGTGACTAGCTTACTAAGTATTAGTTACATGAACAAACTAAAATCCTGCTCTCTTTTGACAGCTTCTGCTACTTGGTATTGTTTCACCCATTCTCTTTGGGCATTTTGTCTGTATAGAGAAATGTAGTATTTATTAGATTTATCTCATCATACCTCTCATTTGAGCACTGAAATGATGGCATAAGATGGTGTGCAACTTTCAACTATGCATGTTTTCTATCTACAAAAGAATTATAATTCTAGGAAAGCAGAGATAAGGCCCCACATTTCCTTAGTATTCGTGTAGTGCTTAGCTTCCATCACTGAATATACAAAATCCAACTTTAAAGAAAAGATTAAGATTAGAGACAGCTAGGTGTGGTGGATGCACCTTTAATCCCCGCACTTGGATAGGCTGAGGTAGGAGAATTGCAAGATCAAGCCCATTAAGCAATTTGGCAAGACCCTGTCTCAAAAAAAAAAAAAAGAGAGAAAATTTAAAGGGCTGGGTATTATAGCTCAGTGCAAAACCCCTGGGTTCAGTCTCCAGTACTGAAAAGAAAGAAAGAAAGGGAAGGGGAGGGGAGGGGAGGAGAAGGGAGGGGGAGGGGAGGGGGAGAAGGGAAGGAGGGAGGGAGGGAAAGAAAGGAAGGAAGGAAGAAAGAAAGAAAGAAAAGAAAGAAAGAGGGAGGGAAAGAAAGCAAGAAAGAAAGAAGGAAGAAAGAAAAGAAACGAAAAGAAAGAAGGAAGAAAAGAAAAGAAAGAAAGAAGAAAGAAAAGGGAAGGAACGGAACTGGAGGCTCAATTGTACTTTTAAGTATTTCTGGAGTAAACTTGTTTGTCTGGTGTAAATTCACAACTTTGTGATTATTTTATCAGGAAGGCTTATTTATGCAGTAAAGAGTAGACTGTTTCTGTGGTGTCTTCCTGGATTAGTCCGTGTGATTCTAGATATCTGAATGGTAAGATTCTAGATATCTTTTAAAGGTATTGTGTGGTGATTTTCTTTTCTGTGCCAGTTTAATTAAAGTACAATTTACACTTTCCACATGTCCTTTCCTTGTGGCACTGGCTTAGAGCCAGCCATGAGAAAGAAACATGTGGTTGTGGAAGGTAGACTAAACAGCAGCTGTCACACTCAGGTGTGGGTGTTGACATTACTCTGCTGCATCCCCTCAATCGTTGAGGGCAGTAGTTGGACCTATAGCTCCTCCCTGGAAGAAAAAAGGTTTTTGTCAACAATGAGAAGTAGTGAGGGATTTGAAGTTGCCTTCAGTTTATGCTTTCTTTCTAAGAGTTCTTTAGCCACTGACAGCTTATGGTCCAGTGTTAACATTCCAGTATTCCAGCTACAAATTCTTTACTTCCAATATTTAGATAATATGGTTGCTTACTAACAGCATCAGAGAATTGAGGTATTTTCCTTAACAGATGATTATCTAAATTAAATGTCTTTCAGAGCCACTAGCAACAAGGAATAGTGAAACAGAGTTCTTTAAGTTTCAGAACAACTCACATTTTGTTAAGATTTCTGGAGTTGTTCCTATGGTTTTAGTTCATGCAGTAACTTTATTTTTTGTTTATTCCACTTAATTTATTCAGTCGTTATTTCCTGGGGTTTCAGATGATTGGGGTGATTTTCTTAATATCTAAAATGTTATTTATCATTGTTTTACAGAACCATTACCCCTCTACAGTTTTGAATAGGAAATTGCCAAAAGGTAGATACACATCTCTGTTCTTCTTTGGTTTTCTCTGTATTATTTGACAACGATGTCAGGTTCTTTCCTTGAAACTCTTAATTTGTGAGTACCATAAATGCATGCCTGAAATCCTAGCTATTCAGGAGGCTGAGGTAGGAGAATCACAAGTTCAAGGCTAGCCAGGGCAAGTTAGTGAGATGCTGTCTAACATAAAAAGAGCTGAAGGTATAGCTCATCACTTCCTCGTTCAATCCCTGATATTGAGGAAAATGTTTTAAAAATAAAAATTAAAAGCTTCTCCTTTATCTCAGTGACACTGCTTCTCTATCCTCTTTTACACTTTCTAATGATCCTTCCTCATCTGGACAGAGATTCTATCCTTCACTAGTGCCAGCTGGTGACTGAGGTGCTTCAGATCTTCTGGCCACCCCAGCAACCCAGCCCTTACCATATGACACATGACTGCCACAGAACAATGAGAAATAATGTATTGTTACTTTAGCCAATAAGATTTGATGTGGTTTGTTACGTAGAATAAGAAACCAAACACCAAAATTGTACCTAGAAGTGAGGTGCTGCCATAACAAAATATGTGGCATTAGTTTTGGAGTGGGTGGTAGAGAAGGCCTTAAGTGGAGTAAGAATACTATTAATGGTGACTGAAGGTCAGTGAGGAAATTGCCACTGGAGATGTAAAATGGTACCCTTGTTTTAATATTGACAAAAAAATTAGCAAAAGCATCACATGATAACATGTGACATAGAAAGTTATTGTAACAACATGCAGGAAACACACATGTAACAGAACTGTGTTATGTACATGGATAAAACAGAAACATGTAGAATAGAAAAACTAATGAACTTGTGGATCTAAGATTTTTCAACAGAATATTGGAAGCAGCAACTGGTTCCCTTTTTAAGCCCTCTATGACCATAGTATAATAAGTGGTGGATTAAGAAGAAACTGCTCAGATTTTACTAAATTTTAGAGGAAATATTTCTAATCCTGAATTTGCTAGGGTTGTAAATAGAACTATTTCTCATCTCCAGCTTTTCCACACTACAAAAAGTACTCAAAGAAAGAAATGGTCTCATGTCCAAAGATCAGATCCAGAGCACTACTGCCAATACAACGTGACCTCAAAGTAAAAATAAAAAGCAAAGGCACAGCTGTCACACCCTGTATTAAAACTTCAAAAAATTTAAGGCTGTTCCTCCTGGGTCCTCTCAGCTAGATGGAAGAAAGGGCCATTAAGACTTAAGAATGCCGGCCGAGGATTTAGCTCAGTGGTGCCGCTGCCTGCCCCCGCAAGCGCAAGGACCTGAGCTTGATGCCCGGTACCAAAAAAAGATTTAAGAATCTCAGGGGCATTGTCCTCTCCTGGACTTAATTTAGATGGCACAGTCCTGGACTTTGGACCTGAATTGGGTGCCCTGGTGGAGTGCAACTTTTGGGAGAGGGTTAGTAGGCTTTGTATGCAGGAGGAAAATAAATCATCTATGGCCAGAGGGTAGGCTGTGGTAGAATAAAAATGGCTGCAAGTTCTTTGCCATTCTTGGCACTGAAAGGTACAGCCTGCTGCTTTTCCTGTAGAATCTGGCCTGGCCTTGTGACTCTTGATTAAAAGATTTTGTAAAATATAGCTCTTTGTGGCTTCAAATGCTACGACTTGAAAGATCTGTGGCTTTGACGTATGGGTGTGTAATGGACTTAGAACCCACCATGCTCTTTGAAGACACACAAAGTACCACGTGGAATCTTATATGAAGACGTTATCAGCCAGCTCCCGGTGACTACCATTATGATGAATGAGTCCATTTTGGTCCTTCCAGTCATCATTCTGCTAGCCAGTACTGTGAAGTAGAAGACCTCTCACAGAAACTTGAGAAATAAAACCTTAATTTTTTAAAAGCCATCAGCGTTTGGAGCATGCAATCCTTCCTTACATGATGCTGAGTTCTAGCCACATGGCTCCCAAGACCAGTTCAAAGCCTCTGTCACCTTGAATAACTTTATGCTTTATTTAGCATAAACAAGTGGGGAAAATTAATCAGAAATACTCATATGTTGTTTCCTAGAGAGAGATCTCAAAAAGATAAATTTAAATTTGTTAGATGTAGGCGAGACCCAAGAAACATATTGATAGGAAGTAGCACGAAACATTTTTGAGGAATATAAGATGATTTTGAAATCAGTTTTTAGGAGAGTAGTGTAGAGAACTCCCACTTTCAGTGCCTGGAATCAGAGACAGATCTTTGAAGTAGCATCCAGCTCTCATCATATAATGACTCTAAATACCATCTGATCATCATTTGTTTATTTTTTTCACTGGTTATTTTGGAAATGCTTTCAAAGTAAAATAAGGACTACTGGGAAATAAAAATGCCTAACTTGAGTATTGTTATTTCAGTCTCAGAGATTTTGTGATGAGATTGTCGGATGAGTTCATGTGCTTTAAAAAGCTTTTATGACTTTTTAGTGATATTTAAAAGTTAAAGGAATGAAATTAGGACCATAAAATTCATTTACTCTTAACATTGTTTCTTTGAACTGATTTACTGCATTTGTATATTAGAAATAGGGATCTTAAAAAAAAGAAAAGAAAAGAAAAGAAATAGGGATCTTATTTGGATTGAATCCACATTATTTGGTAAAATATGGTCTGGAAAATGTTTGGGGTACACACAAACAGTATTAAAGGGCATAATGGCTCTAACTCTGGTTAAGCTCTTCAATTAGAAAAATTATCAGCATTTGTCATATAGGAATGCTTAAAACTTTTCATATATCCTTAAATCCAGATGCTATGCATTTGAATATTAAGTCTCACATAATTTAGTAGAAAATATGTAGTAGAAAAATATTTAGATAAGAAAGTAGATGACACGGTATGTAGCTGTGCAGCTGGAGACTTTGTAGAAAACTACATTTGCATCCTTGTTTTTCAAGATTATAATGAACTCAGTTATAATGCAGATGTTGAAGAGATAATGCAGAGTTAAATAGCTTTTTCTCTAGCTTTTGGGGGAAATTTAGACTGTGGCATAGTTAATTGAATTTAGTGAGGCCATGTGGTCTGGTGCGGACAAGACTTAGTATTTGAGTTCTTCAGTTCCGTTTGTAATTTTATTTCTTGCTAGCTTTGTTACCTTGAGCAAGGTTAATTCTTTGGGCCAGTCTTATTTTCCATGTTTTTAAAAGGAGTACCATTTATTTCAATGGCTTTTGAGATGAATATAAGTGAAATGTTCTGTGGAAGCAGATATAGATAATAGAGATTTTTTTTGCTCTTATTGACAAGGAACCCATCAAAGGAAATTTGAATTAGATGGTAGAAGATAGTTTATAGTTTTCTTATTTTGTTTGTTTTTGTGGTATTGAGGGATTAAATCCAGGCTAGCTGGCCAGATGGCCTGCCTGACTGCCTTCCTGCCTGCCTTCCCACTTTTTCTTCTTCCCTGCCTGTCTTCCTTCCTTCCTTCCTTCCTTCCTTCTCCTTTAGGGAGGGTCTAGCCAAGTTGCCCAGGCTTGACTAAAATGTTTGATTCTTCTGCCTCAGCCTCCCTGAGTGCTGGGATTACAGATGCTCACACCACACCCAGCTAAATTTATAGTTTTAAAAAAGAAAAACAAGGAAAGTTCTCTGCAATTAATTTTCAAGTTAGAATAAATATGACAACCCTCTATTCATTTGAGATCCTACTGATGAGTTCATAGTCATTTCTCATTATGATTATTTTAGAATATTGCTATCAGTTGGGATTGCTGTGTCTTTTCGTAGAGACAGTGTCATAAAATAGAACATGTATTTGTAATATTTAAAGAAAACGTATAACAACATGTCGTGACTGAATAGCATTCTGGTATTATGCAATAATTCCTTTTTTGGCATATTACAGATGCAATGCTGTGGAAGAATGTGTAAAATGTTTTACACATCAGATGTCTGTCTTCTTTTTTTTTTTTTAATTTTGGTGCTAAAGATTAAACCTAGGGCCTTATACTTGCTAAGCATGCACTCAGCACTGAGCTACGCCCCAGGCCCTAGATGCCTTTATCCTACTCATTGCATATAAATTCCATCATGTATCATATGCTACAAATTCATACTCAGTAATGCCATCTTATGAAATAGTAGTTAGGTTGTCATACATTGTACCTGTGCTTTCTAGCCTGTAAAACAATTTGATGCTTTCATTATAAAGCAGGCTTTGTATGTGGCTTTATAAACCCAAAGCAAATTTCAGACATGCCAAACTTCTTGATATTTGAAATGATAAAGTCACAAAATTATTGCTAAAAATATCTCATATATAATTGAGGTTAGTACTTGTAGCTGGACTTCAAGTACTTAATAAATTTTTAAAGAAAATTATGTCTTCGGGGAAGATATGAGCATTTCCAGGAGACTTTTCACACGCAGATTTTTCTGACAGCTCAAACTTACATATTTAATTTAGCTTCCAGAAATGATTGAAGTGCTGAGAATGGCCTAATCTACAAAGTTTATGGCTAGATATATAGGTAATTGTTTTTTCAGTATTGGGGGTTAAACCCAGGGGACATCTACCACTGAGCTACATCTCAGCCCCTCTTTATTTTTATTTTGAGTCAGAATGTCACTAAAATGCTAAGTTGCCCACGTTGGGCTGAAACTTGTGATCCTCCTGCCTCAGATTCCCAAAGTGCTAGGAATACAAGTATGTGCCCCTCCATGGCTGACTTGGCTAGCTATATTTAATAACTAATAAATTCAAGAAATTGTAGCCATATGTCTGAGACATGTATAGAATAGTGTTATGTCTTTTTCTAATGAAATTGGTAGGCTAAATTTTTGGAGCATTGAGACATTCTTATTTGGATAGATGTACAGTTTTAAATTTGGGAACAGAAATTACATGGTTTGACAAGCCATATGATAAATGCAAATAAGACCAACTGTGAGGCTGAGTGGGAGAAATTTACATATGTAAATTACTTGGAGAAAGCTAAGTGTTATAGATACAGAATTTTAAAATATGTTGCACCTAAATTTCTGTAGAAACTTCTCTGTAATTTACACAAAGTTCAGGGAGTGAGTATGATCTGATGAGTATGAGTGGTGTCCTGAATTACAGCTTTGCCAAAACAGGCTCCACTGTGAAAAGGAAAGTAGCTTATGGAAATCTATTGGCCATATCATGTCTGCTGATGGAGAAGGTCTTTGGAAAGAGTGTCTCTAATGTTTTATTTTTCCATGTCTTTTAAGATATTTATGTTTTCTCATAGAATGAAGACAAACTCAGAGATGGTGTGTCTAAGAAACTTCAAAAGATGTAGACCTCCTGACTGAAGCATAGCTGATATATTTGATTCATTTTTTTCCATTATAGTAAGTATAACTAATTTTGGTCAATGTTGGCTTGTATTCTTGTTGCATAAATCTCCATTCTCTGTCAGATATCCTCCTTATTATCATGTTAGGTATTTGTTTTCATTCTTCTGTAATTTCAGTTGCATATCGTCAATGAATTTAACTCTCAGGAACCCATAGAAGACAAAATTATAAACTCAGAGCTGGAAAAGCTCTTAAAAATTATCTGGGTCACTCTCTTTATCCATTGTAGGAAATTCCTTTGCAACATATCTGATAGATTTTATCTATTTAGACCCAGCTGGGGATGGGAGCTAAATTATTTCAAGAGCAGCCATTTCTGTGATGTTCCAGCAACAGATTGGATCAAAATATGACTTTCTAAATCTTCTGCCCACCTAGTTCTGTCTGTGAAACAAAGCCATGTATTCTTTTATCCATGAGGTATTTGCACAAAAATGTAAAGATGAATTCTCAGTTTTCATTAGTCATCTTTTATCTAAGCTGAATGTCATCAATTCCCTATTTCCTCTGTAGAGAAGGGTTTTAGATTGTATCTTCTGATTATTTTGTCCCCCATTTCATCTTGAACCTGTAACTGAGCATTGCGGTCCCAGGCAGACACAGAACTCTCACCTTTTATCTGGTTCACTGTCCATATGGCCAAAGGTTATATATCATTCTTTTGGCATAAGAACTATCATATGATTGGCTGAAATTGTCAAATATCAGTCAAAATCCATAGATTTTTTTTTTTTTACCTGTTCTTTCACCTAGTAATGTTTTTGCTACTCTACCCCCACCTCTGCATTGTGTTTATGGTAATTTGGGGTCTAAGTCCAGAACTACTTATCTCATATGTCCTCTCGTTTTGGGTTTTGTCTTGTGTACTAAATGATGGGAAAGGAAATAATGCATTCAGTGACAGTTTGTTTTGAGGAAGAATTTGTAAATTCCTCTAAGCCTGAAAGATAGTTTTATAAAGCTCAGCCTGACAAGATACCCTTTGTGGTGACTGAAATGACACTTAGGTTACATAATACCTGAGTCAGTCATAGGACAGAGTATGGAAAGAAACTTATTCAGACCTTTTAGGGGGTATGAAATGAGCTGTTACAAGCTAGTAGTACAAAAAAAAAGTTTTTACAAAGACAGCTGAAGAAAATTTTTAGTAACGTGGGCTGGACTTTAGATCTGGGAGGTAAGTAAATAATTACCTCAAGGGCTACCCCAAATCCCATAATAGATCCACTCCTTGTCAGGCAGTGGCCCCATCTAAGGAACTGGGGTGGTCTGCAGCTTTAAATGAAACCAGAAGACTTATGTTCCCTCCATCAGCCCTGCCTCATAGGTTTTACGCTTGAGCTAAATACTGAATAAGATGTTATATACAAGGACTAAAGTTAATGCATAATTTGAGTACTTATTTCATTAGTGTTTCTTTTGTTTTCCTTCTGCAGTTTCTGTACTCATACAAAGAAAAGTCATGATTACATTAACAGAACTAAAATGTTTAGCAGACGCTCAATCATCTTATCACATCTTAAAACCATGGTGGGATGTCTTCTGGTATTACATCACCCTCATCATGCTGTTGGTGGCCGTGCTGGCTGGAGCTCTCCAGCTTACGCAGAGCAGGGTTCTATGCTGTCTTCCATGCAAAGTGGGATTCGACAATCACTGCACCGTGCCTTGGGACATCCTAAAAGCCAGCATGAACACAACCTCTAATTCTGGGACCCCACTTCCGCTCCCCCTCCGAATCCAGAATGACCTCCACCGGCAGCAGTACTCCTACATTGATGCTGTCTGTTATGAGAAGCAGCTCCATTGGTTTGCAAAATTCTTCCCCTACCTGGTGCTCTTGCACACTCTTATCTTTGCGGCCTGCAGCAACTTTTGGCTTCACTACCCCAGTACCAGTTCCAGGCTGGAGCATTTTGTGGCCATCCTTCATAAGTGCTTCGATTCTCCATGGACCACTCGGGCCCTGTCAGAAACAGTGGCAGAGCAGTCAGTGAGGCCCCTGAAACTCTCCAAGTCCAAGACTTTGCTTTCAACCTCAGGGTATTCAGCTGATATTGATTCCAGCAAGCAGTCATTGCCCTACCCACAGCCAGCCCTAGAGTCAGCTGGCATAGAAAGCCCAACTTCCAGTGTCCTGGACAAGAAAGAGGGTGAACAGGCCAAAGCCATCTTTGAAAAAGTGAAAAGATTCCGAATGCATGTGGAGCAGAAGGACATCATCTATCGGGTATATCTGAAGCAGATTATAGTCAAAGTCATTTTGTTTGTCTTCATCATAACTTATGTTCCATATTTTTTAACCTACATCACTCTTGAAATTGACTGTTCAGTTGATGTGCAGGCTTTTACAGGATATAAGCGCTACCAGTGTGTCTACTCCTTGGCAGAAATATTTAAGGTCCTGGCTTCATTTTATGTCATTTTGGTAATACTTTATGGTCTCACCTCCTCCTACAGCTTGTGGTGGATGCTGAGGAGTTCCCTGAAGCAATATTCCTTTGAAGCACTAAGAGAAAAAAGCAACTACAGTGATATCCCAGATGTCAAGAATGATTTTGCCTTCATCCTTCATCTGGCTGATCAGTATGATCCTCTTTATTCCAAACGCTTTTCCATATTCCTGTCAGAGGTCAGCGAGAACAAACTGAAACAGATCAACCTCAACAATGAATGGACAGTTGAGAAACTGAAAAGTAAGCTTGTGAAAAACTCCCAGGACAAGATAGAACTGCATCTTTTTATGCTCAGTGGTCTTCCTGACAATGTGTTTGAGTTAACAGAAATGGAAGTGCTAAGCCTGGAACTTATCCCCGAGGTTAAGCTGCCCTCTGCAGTCTCGCAGCTGATCAATCTCAAGGAGCTTCATGTGTACCACTCGTCCCTAGTGGTAGATCACCCTGCACTGGCCTTCCTAGAGGAGAATTTAAAAATTCTCCGTCTGAAATTCACTGAAATGGGAAAAATCCCACGCTGGGTATTTCATCTGAAAAATCTCAAGGAACTTTATCTGTCAGGCTGTGTTCTCCCTGAGCAGCAGTTGAGTACCATGCAGTTAGAGGCCTTTCAGGACTTGAAAAACCTGAGGACCCTCTACCTGAAAAGCAGCCTGTCCAGGATCCCCCAAGTTGTTACAGACCTCTTACCTTCACTGCAGAAACTATCCCTTGATAACGAGGGCAGCAAACTGGTTGTGTTGAACAACTTGAAAAAGATGGTCAATCTGAAAAGTCTAGAACTGATTAGCTGTGACCTGGAACGAATTCCACACTCTATTTTCAGCCTGAACAATTTGCATGAGTTAGATCTAAAGGAAAATAACCTGAAAACTGTGGAAGAGATCATTAGCTTTCAGCATCTTCAGAATCTCTCCTGCTTAAAGTTGTGGCACAATAACATTGCTTATATTCCTGCCCAGATTGGGGCATTATCTAACCTAGAGCAACTCTTTTTGGATCATAATAATATTGAGAATCTACCCTTGCAGCTTTTTCTATGCACCAAATTACACTGTTTGGATCTAAGCTATAACCACCTGACCTTCATTCCAGAAGAAATCCAGTATCTGAGTAACTTGCAGTACTTTGCCATGACCAACAACAATGTAAGTAAATCCATTCTTGCTAGTCTTTTGAGGCTCTGCTGTGCTTGAAAAAATATTAAGTATTGGCATAGTTTCAGGCACATAATAGTTGTTCAACAAATGATAATTCTCTTTTCCCTTTTCCCCATTCCCTACATGAACATCACAGTTAAAGTATTTTACATGAATTAATGAATTATGGTAGAGCTTACTTTTTGTTTTGGAAAGTTCTTAAGTGCTTAGGAAGCTTGGTAAAACTCTGCTGCCTCCTAAATGTGCCATAAAAGAATAACTTTTTGTTTAAAAATACTGAGGTTATGAATTATTCATAAATCCTTTTTGTGATGCTGTTAAAAAAAGAAAGATTTGACATCTGCTTGGATATCTAGAAACACAATTCAAAATGAAAGGCCTAGCTCTTCGATGCAACACTAGGCCTTCTTAAAAGCCTTTTCCAGCATCCATGCTTAAAAATGAACCATAATTTGCAACAGTTAAGCCAAGTAAGGAAAATGTAACTCCACCGAAACAAGAAAAAACAAAATAAATGAGTAGTTTCATAGGTTAAAATGTAAAAGAGGAAAAAGAAAAAAAAAAAACTTCTGCTAGCCTGAAGCGCAAGAGAGTGAGGATCATGTCTGAAGGGGAACAAAAATCAGATTGGACAAGTCAGGAAACTGATCTTCCTCTACTTGAAAAATGGGTCCTGCTATTTTCTCCTACCCTACCCAAAAAGTATTATCTTCTAGACTTTTGTAATTCATATTTCATGCCAAACATAGCTATGAGTGTGGTGTTGGCTTGTGAACAAAATCCTCAGATGTTGAAAACCATGGATGTGAGAGAAATGCCAAAAAATTGGAAAATTAGAAAATTCATGCTGATTTTTTTTTTAGAAACCTTATGTAAAAGGAGAGAGTTTATTCTAAGATATGTGAGAATTCCTCAGGTTATGAAGTTTTAAAACTATGTAAGGATCAATCTAGACTGATGGTATACCTCAGAGTTACTTGAAGTGCTTGTTAAAACACAATTACTGGACCCCCTCCAGGTTTTAGATTGAGTAGGTCTGGCATAGTATCTAAGAGTTTGCATTTGTGAAGTCTCCAGGTGAAGCTGATGATGCTGGCTAGCCTGCTGACCAGACTTTGAAAACCTCAGAACTAGAGGCTTATCAGTAGTGCTGTTTATGCAGTTGATTTATATTAATATTTGGTCACATTTTTCCATTGTTAGATTGGTGTAAAAGGGATAAATATTTTGAGAAGCTTTAGTTCTACTAAGTTGTTACAGTGCATGATGAAAGACACAGCTGATTAAATTGTTAGCTGACTCTACATTATTTAAATATATT